TCAACAAGCCCGTTATTAGATTCAAATAATTTTTTAATACCTCGTATACAAATAGGTAAAAGTCAGAAAGACTTGCTTTCTTTTGCGCTTTTGAGGAATAAAGGTTTTGTTGCCCTACTCGTCGACTTCATTTAGGTCATTTTATGGCGGTTGGGGCTCGATACAGTGTTTGGTGATTTTCTAGAAAATAAAAACAGCTCTGAACAAAAAAATTATACCACGTTTATAGACTTACCCTAAGGTATCTCTGAGCGAAATATGAGGATAGTGATTTTTCCGATCATGTGCCACCTCCCACGCGGTGATAAAAAAAAATTCGCTCTTAATTGCGCAAAATAAAAATTTCATTTTTTCCGAGAAATAATTGATAGACATGTACACGTTGTAAAATAACTTGAATAATATCTCTCAAACTGCAATGAACGATTGTCTGTCCACAACTAGCTGATCCACATTTATCCCATTATTAAAAGTGGCACTAAGCGAAAGTCATCTGGAATTCAAAGTGTTCCATTTTGCTGGGATTCCGTCTAGTCGAGAGTGAAGGCCGAAGTTGTTTCATGGTAATAGTAAAAATTACATATTCAATGTGTGTACCTTGCTCCATACGAGTGACTTTATCATTACGGACTGAGCAAGCCTATCCAATCTCTCGACAATTTTCAATCATCACTGACAAACAATGTACTTGAGTTTTTCCACCAAAAATATCGCTATCATGATGATAGCAAATATTTGAGTCATTTTTTTCTCGTCAATTATTATCCATAATTTCATGGGGACCGAAATGTAAAAACGTATATCAAATTCTCTCCTCAGTAAAAGCACTCTTACGGGAATGCTTAAGTACAATTTTAATTCAAATTGCCAAAAACAGCCAAAAGTATGAATAAAGGGGTAAGTTTCTAAAGAAACTGTGGTGCTGCGTCGGTGGGAGAATATAGCAGGTAATTTAGTGTTAACAACTGGGTTGAAAACGTAAATTAGCCACCGTAAAGGGTAAAAAACTGACGTTTCGAGCGTTAGCCCTTCGTCAGAGCGATTAGAGGAATTGTGGGTTGTGTGTGGATTTATATGTAGGAAGTGGAGCTACGCCATTGGTGGGAATGTGGTGACGAGAAAACAGGAATAAATTAGTTGAATGAAAAGCGCTCGTTGATTCCGTGGGGATTAAGGGTGCCGATTTGGAATATAAATTTTTGTTCTAGTGTTTTACGGCTTTCCGAACTGCCTAGATGTAAGGAAAGGCCGCAAACTGCCATATGCTGTTTAGAATGATAAGGAAGATTAAAGTGTCTAGCGACTGGTTTGGATGCGTCCTTGTCATTTCTTTCCACATCGCGAAGGTGTTCTCGGAATCGGTCACCCAGTCGTCTCCCTGTTTCGCCGATGTATAACTTATTGCAATAAGTGCAAGTTATGCAGTAAATAACATTGGCGGAGGTACACGTAAAGTGATCAATGATCTTAATGGATCTTTTGGGTCCCGATATTTTCTCTACGTTGTGAATGAAAGGACAAGTTTTGCATCGTGAGCGAGCGCATTTAAAAGTTCCAGATTGGTCATAGGTTTGAAATGAACTCCTGACTAAAAAGTTGCCTATGTTTTTGTCGCGTTTGAATGAAATAAGTGGGGGTTGCGAAAAGATAGTGCCAGTCTCTGAATCGTTTTGGAGTAATTTAAAATTTTTAAGAATGATAGATCTAACTGCGTGGTTGTGAGGGTGAAATGTAAGAGTAAATGGAATGCGGTCAGTGTTCTCCTTCTCGGCCGTTTGTAGTGCTGCCTGTCGATCGATAAGTTGGGCACGGTGGTAGCCCGCTTGAACGACAGAAACAGGATAGCCGCGTTTATCGAAAAACTGGCACATTGCCTCTGATTTTTCGGAAAAATCAGAGTCGTCACTACATAAACGACGAAGTCTGAGAAACTGTGAAAAAGGTATGGAGTTCTTGACGCGTGATGGATGTGAGGATGAATACAACAAGTAACTATGTGAATCTGTAGGTTTGTAGTAAACACTAGTGCATAAGCCGTTGCCTTCAATAGAAATTTTGATGTCTAGAAAAGCCAAAGAAGTGTCGGATATTTGCCAGGTATATTTAAGGGCCGGATGAAAGGAATTGACGGCGGTTATAAATTGAGTGAGCTCCTCCTTGGTAGAGGAGGTAGCGCCGATGCAATCGTCAATGTAGCGGCCGTAGAGTTGAGGTTTTGGGCCGTGGTATTGGCTAAAAAAATTGGTGTTCGATAAAACCTACAAAAAGATTGGCGTAGCTGGGTCCCATTTTAGTACCCATGGCCACGCCATTAGTTTGTTTGTAGTAGTTACCACCGAATGAAAAACAATTGAGTGTGAGTACTAGTTCGGCCAGACGGAGCAGTGTTTCAGAGCTAGGTTCCTTAACAGTGCGTAGATCAAAAAAATGTTTGAGGGCCCGGAGACCTTCGTCATTGGGAATGACAGTGTAAAGAGATGTTATATCCATGGTGAAAATAAGTTTGTTTTGGTCGAGGAAACTAAAGTCACGAAAAATTTCAAGTGCGTGTTGGCTGTCCTTAATGTAAGACGGTAGAGTTTTGACGATAGGTGCCATAATTTTGTCTAAATAGCTGGAAATAAGTTCAGTGGGACAACTGCAGGCAGAAACGATGGGTCGACCTGGGTTGTTAGGTTTGTGGATTTTAGGTAAAAAGTAAATACATGAAGTTCTAGGAGTAGTAATGATGAGATTTTTAGCAGTGGCCGGCAATTCTTGTTTAGCTATAAGATCGTTAATCGTATTTTTGACAATGTTTTGGTTAATTGCAGTGAGGTCTTTGTCGACTTTGGCATAAAAGGAGGTGTCAGAAAGTTGCCGCAAAGCTTCTTTTTGATAGAGGTCGGCCCGCCAAACAACAACTGCGCCACCTTTGTCGGCCGCCTTAATGAAGTAAAAGTATGAATAAGTGACGATTTAAAATCTTTTATCTTTAAAGTCGTCTTTATAGCATATACACTCTGTTATAAAAATGCCTCTTATTTTCTTCATTTTAAAATTTATTGTCGAGTAAACCATCTACAAACTTTAAAATTTTGATTTTCCAGACCGACCTCGTTCAAAAATATTTCTTTTTATCTCTCTGGGTGTAAAATTATTGTTTTTGTGCGAGATCATCAAATTTACTGCGAGCCTTTAAAATGAATCATTTGAAATTATTTTGCTCATTGTTTAGGAAAATGAGGATTCAATTCGCCCCAAAACGACATTTTAAAAGCAAACAAACAACTTCACAATGTTCCTCATTGTGAGCCGCATTCGAAGGATGAGTGCTTGACAACATATTCCATATTCATTCTTCATCGTGCCAAAGCACCCTTTAAAAGCTAGAAGACAACTCCTGAATTTTCTTTTTTTCAAGAAAATTTTTATAAAACTCAATTTGAGACTGAGGCCGAATTTACTTAACTATGTAAATACTGAAGTCATATGATATCATTATTATCCTCTGCATCAAAGTTTACGTCCTTAAGAAACCTCGTTAGCCTTGTGCGCAATTGTTTCCAAACGATATCAAAACAGGGATGTCAAACAATTATATAATCTTCCGGGGGATTATGTCTTTTTCTAGAATAGATCCATACGATCTCTCCAAGGAAATTGATCGCTTGTTACTTGTGATGTACTTAGCTTGCAAACATTCGGGAGAGGGTTTGAAAGCGGTGATCTAGACAATAAGTGTCACAACATGAGACAAAAACTGACAGCACATGTCATTTCGGAGTGTTTAAATTGCGAGTGGCGGTCGAATGAATTCGTACCATTGAATTCGGCAGTAATCAAGCAGCGACAAAAGTGGGTAAAATTTCTTTTCATTCAAGCATCCTTTGACTGCATTGAAAGTTTATGAGTTCGCTTCAATTTTGACTTAATGATTTTATTGTTATGGTGGCAGAGTATAGGAGAACTAATTAAGTTTTCCAGCCAGCTATGACTAAGATCTTCAGTGTATTTGTGGAGCTGAATTTAATTTTTTTTACTGTTAGCTGACTAAGGATAAAATGTAAGTAGAAGAAGTGGTCATGAAGTAGTTTTTTTCGTTTGAGTTCAAATGAAAACGATAAAATCATTTTCCTATCAGAGTCCTCGTTAAAACATCGAGGGCTGTGATCTGCCATATGATTTGAGAGGTTTCTATAGACTCAGCTGCGGTCTTCTGAGGAAATACTGTAATAACTACTCATAAAATTTTGTAACTTACAGTTTTAATATATATTTTTTTCATTTTAGTAGTTTAGCTTTTTGAAGAGTTTTTGCGTCATGTTTTTTTTTTAAGATTGCAGTGAGTTGTAATTTGGAAAAGCTGATCTTATTTTCTATTTCTTATTTTTGAGAACAACTCCAAATAATGCCTCATGGAGATATTCCCTAGGATAAAGTGAAAAAACACAAAATATTAGCCTTTACATATGGAACAATTAGCGGGCCAACGGGGGAACAGGTAAGCGCGTAGACAAGAAAATGAATCACTTCAATAGCATAAGCAAGCCTACAATGATACAACTTATTTAGGTGCGAAGCAGTACAATTGACCTTTACCCACGAGGAAATTGGATGCTTTGTTCCGAAACAGACGAATAAGGATAATAAAAATAATAATGAAAGCTGCTTATGAAAACAAAGCAAAGAATTCAGGATAGATTTTAATTTTTTTTCTGCAGCTGAATCCATAAAAGCCCAGTTTGTGTAATTAAAGTAACAGTGCATTAGGCTGATCATTGCGAAAACAGTCATCTTGTCTCGGAGAAAAAATAACTGAAATGTATATCGTCAATCATTTAACGAAGGAGGAAATAGGATATTCAATATTTCAAGGAAAAATGAAAGGATATCACCTACCGTCGCCATATATCGCTGTATAACTAAGGACATAAGGGTAATCGCCAAAATTGCTGATGTAATTTCTTTCTTTTCTTTTTAAATCTTGATCTTCTTTGAGTAGATAAACACAGCTCAAGATGAACAACAACATGAATAACACAACGTATGGTGAAGAGGGAGCTTTGTCATGTGGCTATCCGAGCGTTTCTCTCTTACAGCAAACAATCAGAGCAGGAATTGTTCTTCTAGTGTTGATTTGCTCACTTGTGGGAAACATTTTTGTTCTGCGCGTCGTCAGGAAAAACATCAAGTTGCACTCTGTGACCCATTACCTCATTGTTAACTTAGCAGTCGCGGATCTTTTGATAACAGTCTTTAACATGACTGAGTTGCTTAAAATCGAAGTGACTGGAAGTGAACAAACGTTCGGTGGCGTTGCTGGTGACGTTTACTGCATCGGAAGCATTGTCATATTTAACCTATCCGTTGCCTGCTCCATTCTCTCTTTGTCGGCGATTTCAATTGAGAGATTTTGCTCGATCATATTTCCGTTCAAAAGAATCATTACACTCCCACGTGCAAAAGGGATGTTGGTAACCATCTGGGTTTTCTCCTTTCTCATCACAATCCCTTTTTTCTTCAATACGAAAACTGAAGACTATTATGGTGATGGAGTGTTCTACTGCATCGAGGACTGGTCCCCTCTTGATTCAGAAAAAGCTGCCCAAGTGTTTCAGGTTATATTCTTCCTATTGATGTACGCATGCCCACTCACTGTCATCCTAGTACTGTACTTAATTATTGGAGTTAAGTTGTGGAGGCGCCAAGTGAGTGTGAAAGCCTCTTTAGGAAATTCTCAGAGGCGAACACGCATGACAGTACAAGTAATCAAAATGCTTGTCACCAGTGTCGTGGCCTTTGCATTATGTTGGCTTCCCCAACACGTTGCACTGTTCATTGGTTATTTCAGGCTAGACATATGCCCCCCTGAGTTTTTATGGTTTGGAGGACAAATACTTGGGTATGCAAACAGCATGATGAACCCAATCATCTACATTGCTTTTCATTCAGAGTATAGAAAGGAGTTCAAAGTTGTCCTTGCGAGGTTTTTCCCTATTTGTCGTGGACATCGTAAAGGTGCAACAATTATAAACCTACAGAAACAGAACAACCCTGTAGAGCTGGGCATGGTTAGTGTTTTATCGTTTAAAGTGAGGCTTAGTGATGGACTCCGATCTGAATTTAGTGATGTTAACTCTAGCAGTCCCTTCAAAGGGAGCAGAGAAAATCAAGCTTTGAATAGAATTGAGTAAATTTGTGATAACAATCATCAACAGGGTGGAAGAAATCAAAATTGTAATCAGTTAAAAGAAAGTGCCCCATATAACTTGATCCTAATTATTGGATGTGATTCCCCGAAGTGGATTGGAAGTAAGGGACAGGTGCTTGGGGTGAAGAATCTGCAAGTGTAAGATAGGATGGACATTCATCTTTCAATGTATAAAATAAGCTCTAGCCAAATACAAGAACTTTGATATCGGACTAATTAGAATTGGATGAATACAACACGTTGATCAATGTCCAAATGCCCAAACGGAAAAATGGGTGGATTGTCATGACATTGCTCTCAAATAGGGACAGGTGCAATTGGGTGGGAAATCAAAATTGTAAAGAATCTGCAAGTGTAAGATAGGATGGACATTCATCTTTCAATGTATAAAATAAGCTCTAGCCAAATACAAGAACTTCAACCAAGTCATATCGGACTAAAATACAACCTTTTGGAATAATGGGATTTGGATACAACACGTTCAGAATTGTATCCTCAATGTCCAAATGCAAATCAAACGGAAAAATGGGCGGCTTGAGTCATGAATCCGTACATTGCTCTCAAATAGAAAGAGCTGAATTTTCAAAGGTTCCAAACTATTAAGTAACACCGAAAACTTCAACCTCAGGTCGATGCGAGGAACTTTCATTCTGCTTGAATATTACTTAGCGAAGTGTGGTTTATAGATGTGGAAGACCATAATACAGGGAAAACGGGATAAAAGGTGTTCTTATACCTGAAATCGTCTCAATATCTCCCTATCTTCACTTTCCTTCTTTGAAGAACATTTCCAGCCAGTCTTTATTATAAGGCATGCTGTAATTTGTAGAAATTTACAGTTGTGCCTTAGCCAGGTTTATTTGTAAATAGAGTTTTCAAGTGGCGCTTGACCACTTTTGATCCGATAATCTCAGCAAATGTAAGCTTATCTACAACGTTTTATTGGGACTGTTAGTCATTCATAAATACGTTTGGTATCCTTGAAATATGATTTAGATGTTCAGAATAGAAGCTGTATATATGGGGAACGAATCAAGTGAGTTTGTGCAAATTGCACATATGAAACAGATGGCGGGCGATCTTTTTCCGTAAAGAGGGACCGTTCATAATTTATTGCCTTGGGAGGGAGGGGTGGGGACGGGGTGTTATCCCTGGTAAATAATGACTAGTCCCTTAGTATTAACCTTTGCGATTGAATTCCAATCAACAATTGCTCGTTAAATCGGGGTGAATAAGGTTTGCTGTGTTAATACTTAATACTGCTAAATCTAAAACATTGTTGCCAGTACGTTCTCTTAGGGTTTGGGAGATAATTATCTCATTGTTCAGCATATAAATCTAACAAGTCAATAAACATCGATGAAATTTGTGATTTGCATGATTTTTTTATGGAGGTGGTAGTTTTGCGGTTAGCAGGCACTTTTGAATGGCCCGAGTTGAAGTTCAGGCAGGTTCATTAAGTTGTACTACTGAAAAGCGTACTAAATCAGTGCGTAAAAGCATGTAATGGCGTCTCTTCCGAGAGCTATAAAAATCCTACTGGTCTCCTGACGCTGTAAAATTGTTGGTTTAAAGTGTTTTACAACACTAGCCAAAATCTTTACAAAAATTGAGATTTCCCTTGAAAGAACATTCATAATTAGCTGATATTCGAAAAAAATTCTAGTCAATGATGTTTAAAAAGTCTTTTCTTAATCATAACATTCGAAAAAAAGTTATTTTGCCTTTTAAAAAGGTAGTATTTTGGGTTTTTTTCGTAAAACCAATCTGACATCATTTCGCTTTCAAATGTAAATAACCTTTCAGAGTTCTACTGTATAACGATCAAATATTAATAAGAAAAGGCTCTTCTCAAGATAATCATCTGCAATGTAAACTAAGGACCCTCGCGTTTGAAAGAAGTGGGATATAAATGACTGGCATGTTAACCGCTTAAATATCCACTTGTTTATTTGATAAAGGAAAGCTATGGAAACTCCAGAAGCCAGTAATGTTGAATTGCCTGACGGTTTTTAGCGGAGCTGACAGGGAACTAGCAAAATAGGCAACCTTGCATCAAATGACAGTATTGCTCTGATTGGGTATAAATACAAGACGTTTTTTTAGGGGAAGCAATGGAGTCAACTTGGCGGGACACGGATGCTGTCACTTTGTAACAAGTAGTGTAAGACAAATTAAAGACCGCCTGAGGAGGCTCAAGCATAGAGACATTGTGGAAGTCAGAGAGCTGATAACTGGCCCAATTTATCATTACATAAAAAATAAACGGCGCCGAAGATATTCGTTTCAATTTTCTGACTCATGTGAAATGATGACCGATTGGAAGAGGCGACTAAGTAATGCCGGACTAGATGAGTATCGAATGTCAAAAAATGGAAAAAAAAATACAAAAAAATAGTGGTCCTAAAAAACAAGTATCCGAATATTTTGGATGAAAAATGTAAGAGCGATTTCTTCTCTATTTAATACGAACGCTGACTGCACCGAAGACAGAAAAGCTAATCTCGGGGAACAGGGAAACCGAATATTTACTGCCCCCTCCCTAAGTTAGACAGGTAGGACTGTCTTAATCATTTTTGCATCTGGTTGCTTTATGGCTGGCTAATTTAGTGAGTAAACAGAGGAGAATCGTGTTTATAATTTGGGCGTTTTTGTTTTAATTACTACTTATTTACACCAGCTATTTACATCAGCTGAAACACCTCTGAAATTTTAAATTATGAAATAAGCGGTGTAGTGTTTCATTACCAGGGAAAGAAACATTCTGCAAGTATATCGAGGCGGGGAATTGGCGGTGCAGTTTTACTTGGCCTCTTATGTCTTAGTTATTCACAAAGTAGCTAGGGTCACAGGTGAGGCGGATGGTAATTTTGTTTCAATCGAGAGTGATAACAGAACCCTTTGTTGGCATCAGTAGTTTTAGGAAACAACTCAATAGAATTTAAAGAACTGACCCCGTCGATAAGAATGAATTGCCTTTGAGGATTTAGTTTGGGATTGAGTTCTTAACATATCCTTGTACTTGAATGTCTAACAAATGGCGTCCCATTTCAAGTAGTTTCTTGCCACCTCTCCCAATTTTGTCACTTTGAGTCAATGCAATTGATGCATTTCGAAATCCATTGTTAAGGACGCCGTGATTATCATTTTCAATCAGTAAACATGAATTCGATTTTCGCCACAATTTTCTTTTCCTTCAAAAATCGTTCTTAGTCGTACAATGTTCTTTTCTCCTTTACCATTATGGCTCTACTCTTAACGCAGAGTATCCTGTGTTTCTCTCTATTTTTCTGATCGGCTCAGTTATTTTAGAGCGAAAAGAAATTAAAAAATGCTTTAAGACTACGGATATCAAATTTTAACGTTTAATTTTCGTCCTTTGAATCTGATATGTGTTGTCTAGCAACATTTGTCAAACAAATGTGCCCCTTAGCGGTTGTTATTACTTCAGCTGAAACGAAACCGCCTGACAATTGAATAATAACAATTTTTGACGTTTCTGTCCGAACTGTTCGAAGTCACTGAATTTTTTTCTCGGTTGATTTCGGAACTGGTAAATCTGAAACTCAATTCTTTTGATTTCGACGTCGATATTTTCTTAGAAAAATAAATTAAAAGTGAGCAATCATCAGAGTTAAGCAGGGCGAAATAGTCAGAATTTTCATCACCAAAAGCGAATATAATTTTCTCAAGTTAAAGCGGCCGTATCACCTGCCCAATTCCAATAAATTTTCAAACTAATGAACTGTTCTTATTGTGCTGCTATATACTACTATAATTTCAAAATACGTAGATTTGTTTCAATAAACTCCAAAACGCGACCAGGCGTAATTTAAAATTCGCTTTATTAGGATTTCATCAGTCACGTTTTAAAAGTTCGCTGTTGGTGCAAACTAATAGGAGGTAAGTGGGTAAGCCTCGGTATCAAAACAAACAATGAAGCCACTTTGATTTTCACCCCACGGACAGATAAAGAATATTTAACATCTTTAACCTTTTTATTTCCTCCTTTAACTGAATATGTGCATGTGACTGTATTCTATCGATTTGAGCCGACATCATAACCAGGCACGTTTGGTGTGGTGAATATAATGAATGTGCAAAATGATAAATTTATGCACAGTTAATGATATGATTCTGGAAGTTTTTGATTATTCCGTTATTATAGCGATTTGGTGCATTGTAATCCTTTTAACTTTCTCAGAGCACTGTCCAACAACATATTTCTTCGTCGCTCTTGTTGAAGGCGAAACTATCTGTTTACCGTCAAAAGCAGGAAAAGGCTGAGCTAAAGAAAATTAAAATGTCTTAAACGATATTTGTGTGACAAAAGCCATAAGATTCTGTCATTTACTTGGACAATTCGTCGTTCATTGCTAAAAATGTGGTGAAAAAAACAGGTAGCCTTTTTTGTCAAGATCAAGTGGGTATTGTCAGAGTGCCTTTGGGAAGATATCCGATCGAAGAAACATGCAATTTTCATTGCAGATCTTGGTTTTATTCAGACGTACTGGAAGGACCCTCCATGAGTAAAGAGAGCTCTCTGAAGACTCCCATGAATAATCAGTCAGGCCTAGACGACTTTTATCCTCTCTCAGAATGCCCAGCAGAAGAAGAAATGAACAACTCGCAGAGGCTATTCGTTCAGGAAAAACTAAATTTGATTGCCACAGTCATTTCTTTATTCAGCAACATTGTCGTTATCTGGACCATGCGAAAGAATCCACGAATGCGAAATTTAACACACCAATTGATCGTCAACATGGTTATGGCAGATATCCTCATTACAGTCTTTCCCATGCCTTACAAACTGTAGGCTCAAATAACAGGCAGCGACGCGGTAATGTTTGGTGGATTGCCAGGAATGGTTATCTGCAAACTGGTGGGTTACAGTCAAAATGTTTCCATCGATCGCTCTGTCCCGACCTTGACGGCAATTTCCATGGAAAGGTTTACGGTGGTCATGTGTCCTTTCAAGAGAGCCACTTTGAACCATAAAGCACGATATACTGTCATCCCTATTTGGATCATTTCCATTGTGATGTGTTCGCCTCTTCTTTACGTAAACCAGTTACTGGAATACGAAGGGAAGTTTTTCTGCCACGAAGAATGGACTCCGTTGTTGATTTCAGAAGTACACTCCCCCGGCCGGAGTTACACCGTCACACATTTTGTATTGAATTATGTTTTACCTCTCATCTTCATAACAGTTCTGTACTCCTGTATAACGGTAAAGGTTTGGAATCGGCAAATCCCTGGACATCGTCACTTACGTCATGCTCGATCTTACTCGGCCGCTAGAAAGAAACTTGTGAGGATGCTAAGAGTTATCGTATGTCTCTTTGGCTTCCTTATCACGTTGTATTTCTACTTCTGTTTTACAGCAAGAAATACCTAGTATGCCCCATTCCAGAAACCGTGATTTTCTATTGCCTTTTTGTCGGACACACTAGCAGCGCCATAAACCCTTGTTTTTATTTTGCCATTCAGCAGGTTATACGCTCCATCTGCCGTGGGGGATCTTCACCCTTGTTAGGATGTATTATTCTACACAGATCATCATTCAACCTGCAGGTTAATTATGGTCTTGTAGATCAGACAGAAAGTCCTTCAAATGTAGAAATGACGTACAGAAATCAATTTCTAGAGTTTGGCACCACAACTCAAGTTTTCATAACAAATGTAAGCCGCATATATTATGAAAACGTATTGTAAACATCTGATCTTCATGATATTCACAACTCGGTCAATCTCTTGTTCCCAGTTTTCACCCGTTTCTCCCCACACTGCATTCTCGTTATTTCAGGCTACATGAAATGTTTTGTGTAGGACTGAGGGTTTTCATTTTTCGGCATCTTGATATCCATGAATTATTTTCGATATATGATTCGAGTGGCACTGTAAGCCGAAGTGTCAAAAAAGGGAACGAGTTTCTGTTCATCTGTTCGTAACGATGGGCAACAAAAGCTCGTACTAAGCATTTTTTCAATTTGATACCCCAGCACGTTTGCTTAGGCAGTGGTACAAAGCTTTCAAATGGCATCTTTTGGAAAAGGTTAACCAATTATGAATTCAATTCGGTCATGGTACCATCACAGCAATATTTCTGTACTTCGGCTATCGATTTCTTCTCTTTTCTAACCTTCCCCGTTAGAATCATGAACAAGAGTACCCAAATTATTAAGGTTAGGAATTCTACTCAGAAAATATTTCAATAATTTTAAAGGGACGACTGGTAACAACTGTATTTTTCTCCTGTGCCATGTAAAGCTTTCTAAGACAGATTGTTTATCAGAAAGTCAGGAGGTTCTCGAGGAGAGATCTGTTCAGAAGAGAGTTCGTAAAGAATAGTTAAAAGCTAAAAGCTAAGTAGTGTTTAATGGCATTGAATCCGAATGACCAGCAGAAAATATACCGGTATGTCTTAATATGTCCGGATATAAGTCTCTCGAAAGTTTTTAAAAGGTTGCCAGTCGGCAAACTCATTAAACTTGTCGAATCCATTGGATTTTGCTTTGCAGAGTGTATTTCATCATAAAGCATATATTAACATGGTTTCTAAGGAGAATTCTACCAGATAATCAAGAGGTCAAAAATGCTATTTGGCTGGATGACAAATCTTTTGTGCATGGCGAGAACGCAAAAGACTCAAATCATACTTCAAACGATGTTATAATGAGTATTCTAGCTCATGCTAAGCGACAATAACGTCTTCACGGTTGCTGTTACCTCAGATAGAAATTGACCAAGGGGAGACCGGTCAAGTTTTAATCGTAGCAGGAAGGTAATGAAACAAAACGTAAATTTTGTGGTTTTTTTTTTTTTAATTTACGCTTTGCCTTTACTTTCTATTAAAAGTGCTCCCGTGTGTGAAAAGACGTTTACATTCTCTTTTGATACACAATCTGCATCACAATTTGATGAACTCATAACAATTATGACTGTCCATTGTAAAAGCATTTCCCTTCCTTTGTGTCACCGCGATATATACATCAAAACTTAAGACCACAAAAGCGACCTAGATCCCGTCATTCCCCGCCCCAAGGGATCTTTTGCAAACAGCTTGATAAACTTTCAGGATATACTTCCCGCGTACATATATTTTAGTTTAGAAATTAGCGAAGAAATTCATAGTTTGTTCTCTCGGAAAAATGCGTCCACGAGACCATCATTTCCGTTCATACCGCATTTAAACCCTGCCAGTTTACAAGCAAAGGTCAACGTATCATTCAGTGAAGATCCTTGCATGAGGTTCCAAATGGCACCGGCAACAAATGTGTCCCCGGCTCCAAGGGTATCAGTAACTTTCTCAGGTGGGAAGGCATCGCTGTGGGTTTCCATATTTTCCGGCCCGATTCCATCTGCACCTTTTATTCCCCAGGGACATATAACTGTGGCACCTTTCTTACATTTCGTATGTAGCGATTTAACGGTCTCAGAAGGCGAGGAAAAACCCATGAATTGGCCAAAATCTTTGCTTACGAAAACGACATCAGCTTTATCAAGCAACAATGAAAGACTGTTTCTTGGTTTTTCCAACTCTACGGAAACAATGATTTTGTTCTTTGGTAGTTGAGCGGAATTAAAATCTTCAACAGCGGAGATCATCTTCACAATCTCGTCTTCATTCCTTCTGCCTTCAAAGTGAATCCAGTCGTAGCCCGACAAGTCGAGTTTTTCAAAGGTGTCGTTTGTTAACTCTGGAAGATTATTTCTTGAATGGACGACCGTTCTGCTGCCAGTTGTCAAGCTGAGCGTTACAAACGAAGTTGGAGTTCCACAGCCTCTATGGCGAACACAATTATCATATCGTACCCCTCTCTCGAGCAAATGTTTGCAAACAAAGTCAGCCTCCCCGCCATGTGACATTGAACCAAGAAACTCGCACTCCATTCCCAACTTAGCTAATATCGAGGCATTCGTACAAGCATTGCCTCCCGTTTGCCATCTCTGTGAAATTGCTCTGAGATCTTCGTCCTCTTCCGGATAACGTTCACATGTGTTCACTATATCAAGGGCGATTAAACCCACACAAAGGATTCGTCGACGACCCATAACGGTTTAGTCTATATTGTTGAAACTCTCAGGGCAAGATGGTATTCATAGGTATTGTGCCACAGATAAAAAAAAGTAGCGAGTATATGATTCGAGTGGCACTGTAGGCCGAAGTGTCAAAGAAGGAAACGTGTTTCTGTTCACCTGTTCGTAACGATGGGCAACAAAAGCTCGTTCTAAGCAATTTTTCAATTTGATACTCCAGCACGTTTGTTTAGGCAGTGGCACAAAAAGCTTTCGAATGGCATCTTTGGGAACAATTAATAAACACGGGGTTAGCATGGATGGCAACGAATCTTCTGGGCGCGATCAAAATTGACATTGATATTGTTGACATGGCGGAACACCAGACGCGATCCAAACGAAAAACGTTGAACGTTCCTTTTTACGGGGTGCGAGCTTAATATGAATGGAAATGATATTCCTGTGGCTAGATTTTTTCGCTTAAGAACGACATAAATTCAGGCAGTAGTAGAGCCATATATAGGGACAATGTGTGAGAAGAGAAAACTATCGTGTGCTAATTTACTTCGATTATCGCTGATAAAAAAATTCGAAATATTGTTCCTGGAAATATAAATGTTGGAACGAGCTATCGCAGGGAAGCTCCAAAACCTCGTCGATTCATCGTTATGATATGTGGAAGCGTGCGATGTAACTGCGACCTCTCAAAAGAACGAAGTGCGATATTCGTTTGCATTACTTTTGCATAGTATTACATATCAGCGTTGTTTCAGTTCGTCCACTTGTACCTGTTGCGATCAGCGACTGTAACTGTTATTAATCGCTGAGATTATTTCTTTAACTAGCGTCTAACTACAACTGCCACTTGTTGTATATGGTAATTTAGTATTATAAACTGAGTTGACAGCGTGAATTGGTCACCGTAAAGATTTCCAAAGCCCACATTTCGAGCGTTAGCCTTCCGTCAGAGTATTCTGTTATATTCTGGTTTTTAGCTGGTACGCACAGGCGTGTTGATCAGTTTTGAAAATCCGTCAATCCTGAATGAATAATAACAAATTTTTAGGCAAGAGGCCATCTGTTTTTGGCCTGCTTGTTCTCTTGGTTTTATGTTAGCGTTTTTGATGTCATTTTTAATGGATAATTACGAGGTACACGAGGTATAATTCCTGAGGTACATGGTATTATAAATATTTCTAACATAAGCCGCAAGTAGGCCTAGAACATACGGTCTCGAGATTGATATAATATTTTCACCCGAAATATGAGATAATTGTTTTCTTTCAGCACAAGAAGAGTTAGGGTCGGGGAGATGTTAGGGACTGGAGTCGAATTAATGGTATGTTGATATTTAATTTTGGTTGACGAGTGTTATACAATTATAATTACGGTCATTGTGGCTCATTTTAAATCTAACGGAATTAATTGAAATAGATGAATACTCCTCAAGAAACTGATAGAAGCAAATCAATGGTATTTAAATTTTAAATTTTTTCTTCTAAACTGTACTTAAATCATCCATTCATCATGAATGATAAACAGCAGCTCTCTACAAGAGAGTTAAGTTAACTCTTAAAGGATCCATGATTATTCTCTCACCAACCATCTGTTCCGCGCTATTTAAAGCAGATATCTTCTATCGAAATTAGATGGACGCGGCTCATAGTTTTATTCCTAATTATTGTATAAAGATATATCTCAGTATAAGTGTGGCCTCTTCATCCCTTAGGGTAAGAGGCTGCGCTGATTTTGTAGCACTATGATGTAGATTGCGATCAGAGGAGTTCTATTTTTGACCATTAACTTGAAATTTGCAGTTTCCTTTATCCTACCCTAACATGATTTTTTGTCGATGAGGTTCTTTGCCCCAGCTATTTTAGCGGGCACGTTCCTTCTACATTCAAAATCAAAGAGGTACTAAAATCGTTTAGTTTTTTTATTATGCTCTTGTAAACAATATAAAACTGATATGAAGTTTG